TGTCGGATCGCAAACGTGAGATACGGTATTATGGGGACATGAGTATTACGGAAATTGCTGCTGGAGAGCCTCGTTCTACAACTGCCAATGAAGTGCATGGCGATAGCTTTGCAGGAAGTACACCATGCAATGGGAAAGTTATGAAGAGTTGAGACTGCAAACACAGTGCTGCGCACCGGAACCATAGGCCTTTGCAGGCAGCTGTTCAGGGAGTAGCATGATGAGGTCGGCATGTGAAGTGGTGGTGTGGATAATGGGAGCCTCTTAGTCGCCTGTGTTTGAGACAAGCTGGAGCGGACAGCAGATTTTGCTGCGTGGGTGTTCATAACCGGGACATGGCACCAGACGTGACATGTAGCAGCGCCGGAGGCGATCTCGCTTGTAAGGTTCATGAAGATCCGGGCTACTGCCTTGATCAGCAGCGCATGATCTTTACGAGCAAGCGGCCTGAAGATTTCAACGTCTCGAGTCTCGTCGGATTACAGCATCCGGCGAGCTGTCATTGAGGATTTGACTGCCAAATTGATCGATTTGGGCTTGGCAGAAATGCTTGCCAACTCTTTCTTTTGTCATGGGCAACGGCAAGACGGTGCTTTGGTTCGGTTTCTTACGTCCTCTTCTGCTTTTCGTGGTAATTCACGGAGCAGATATGAGTGCCGTCATTGATCGTGCAGTAAAGTTTCTGTTTTGTGAGCCCCACTCGGACTGTAGCGCCCTACAGTTCGTGGCCTGTCATAAGGTGGTGTTTCATAAAGGCTGTGTATATTCTTAGATTGTAATTCAGACTTTAGACATGTCTTTGTTCAACGAGGGTTTTTCCTGCGGTTTAGGAGTGTCGGGTTTTTAGGGGGCCTCAGGAGTCGAGGATTCTCCCATAGGCACCCAACTAGTTCCTTTTTATGGTTTACATTTAGAATCCTATAAGGTAATCCCACAAAGGAACTACTTCGGGGCCTATGGGTAGAGTTTCGGGGCTCAGCGCATCGGGTTTTGGGCTTTAGGGGTTTAGGATTTTGGGCTTAGGGTTTCAGGTCCTGATCTGGGACTTAAGGGTTCAGGGTTTAGGGTTGAGTGGTGCCAGGTTGAGAGGTTAAACCCTAAGGCTCTAAGGACTCATGTTTTTCAGGCTGTTGGGCCCAAGGACCATACTATTTTAGGCGTTTGGGCTATTTTGAGCCTCAGGGTCAGGGTGGTTTAGGGCTAGGAGCTTTGGATCCGTGGTCAGGGTCTAGCCTGCTGGGCTGAAGTTGACCAACTGCTGTACAAGGCCCAAACCCCTAAAACTAAACGGTACATAAGGTACTTTGGGGTTTAGGCACGGTTTAGGGTTTAGGGTTTAGGGGTTCAGGGTTTAGGGGTATACTAAACCCTAAACCGAACACCCTAAGCCCTAAGGTCCTGAACCCTATAAACCTTAATGTGTCCTGCCAACTCTTGGCAGGATTTCATGTTAGGGTTTAGGCTTCATGATGGGGTTCAAGCACAAGTTTCGGAGATTAGTCAAGGAACTTTGGGTGGGCTTGGAGTGCACCTAGACCCTAAACCCTAAACCCTAAACCCTCGAATGCAGCGCCTTTTTTGTGGCACTTACCCAAACCCGTGGCCCAAAAAAGGAACCCCGGTTCTGGGATGTCCAGTGTTTTGAGGCTGTAGGCTTGAGCTCTTGAGGCTTGGTGTCGTACAATCGGGGTCCCCTTCTTTGAGAAGATGAGGGTTTAGGGGCTTAGGGCTTAGGACGTTTTCCCTAAGGCTCCAAGGACCCATATTTTCAGGCTTTTGGGCCCAAAAACCATACCATATACGGCTTTTTGGACTATTTTGAGCCTTAGGGTTAGGGTTTATGTGAACTTTCGTTCTGCCTTTGGGTTCTGAAAGGTTTAAAGTCTTTCTTACACGGAACTTGCAAGTAGAACCTTTGATCACAGTCACTCATCCCAAGCATGCAAGCTATACGACCGCGGTGCCTGAGAACCCAGAAAACAGACGCAAATTTGGACGAACCCTTTTAGGGTTTAGGGTTTAGGGCTCATGAAATTGCATGAGGGGGCGAGGTGTGCATGCTCTGGCAAGTCCGGCAACAAACCTGCCGGTTTTCCGAGAAGGCGCTGAGGATACAATCCGGACTTATTCCATGGAGTCCAGCCGCGTCGGGCTCAACAATTCAACAATCTCTTCCGAGCCTACCGCACGTGCGATCGCCAGGGCTGTGTTGCCACTTAAGTCCTGTAAGTCCCTATCGGCGCCCGCTTCCAACAGCAGCTTGGCAATCTCAAAATGACCTTCACCACATGCAAGCATCAGAGCTGTGCTGTCTTCCAAGTCTTGCAAATCAATGGAAGCTCCAGCATCCAACAGCAAGCGCGCAATCCCCAGGTGGCCCTTCTCGCATGCACTCATCAGGGCGGTACGATGGTAGTGACCCCGGATATCCACTCCGGCACCGAATGTTAAAAGCAAGTGCACCAATTCCCATCGGCCTGCTTCACATGTGAGAAGTAGTGCCGTAGAGTGGTAATGGTCCTGCACGTCCTTGTCAGCCCCGGCTTCCAAGAGCAGGCGAAGAAGCTCCATCTGATTTTCTTCCTGGGTTCCCCACTGAGCCCTTAATGATAAGGATACGGTTTTCCTACTATTCGGCTTTAATTAATTAGGAGGCCCCAAAATATTAAAACAAAGGGCGAAAGGGTACTACTGAGGAACCTAGCTTCACATGCCAGGAGCAAGGCAGTCCTGCCACTTGTGTTTCGAAACTCCGTGGAGGCTCCAGCTTCGAGCAGCAAAGAGGCCACGTTCGCATGGCCTTTTTCGCAGGCACGCATCAAAGCTGTGCAGCTGCAGCCGTCCTGGAGGCTCATGGATGCCTTGGCTTCTAGGAGCAGCCCCACCACTTCTGCATGACCTCCCTCAGAGGCAAGAATGAGGGCTGTTCTGCCGCTTCTGTTCTGCAGATGCATCTCAGCCCTGGCTTCCAACAGTAGCTGCACAACGTCAACATGGCCTTCTTCGCATGCAAACATAAGAGCGGTAGAGTCTTCGAGCACGTCGCACAGATCCTGGTCGGCACCGGCCTCTAAAAGCAGCCGCACAGCATCAACCTGTCCTTCTTCAGATGCGAACATGAGAGCCGTCTGGCCATTGCCCGGGATCCTCATGTCTTGGTCTGCACCGGCCCTTAACAGCAATCGGGCAGCTTCGGTATGGCCGTAGCTGAGAGCATCGAGCAGCTCGTCTGAGACCTGGAGCCTGGGAGCACCGGATACTGGCAGCAACACGAGCTGCACATCTTTTACCAGGTCCAAGGAGGCTGAGTTCTCCAGTCTGCGCCCATCACAGAGGAGCTGCTGAAGGCACACCGGGAAGCCATGGAGAGCGCGGAGACGGAGCTTCAAGCCCTTCACGTTCTCCAAGCCCTCCTTGTCGATGTTGGGAAGCTCTTCACCAGAAATCTTCCACAGCCGAAGCATTGCAACCGTCGGATTCCCTGATTTTTTCAGACAGCTCTCAAATCATCAGCACAAGTATGTTCTATGATCATGCTGCTTTTGTGTTCATCATACTTTCTCCCACATGCCTTTCAAGATCGCTGATATCGCCCGGTTGCCTGTGGTGTCTCACCCCTAAACGCTGGACCCTCAACCCTTTACTAACCCAATTCCTTAATCCTGACTGGAAAAACGCCATGCTGAACTGCGCCGCACGGAGTAGTCAAGCTGAAACAGGCTCTGCCCAGAAGAGCTCCGAACAAAGGACAGCCGACGGAATTTTCAGGATCGGGCGGCTTAGGGCCTTTGTGTTTTTCTTTGTGGTTTCGCACTTAGGGTTTATATATATATATAGATAGATAGATAGATAGATAGATAGATAGATAGATAGATAGATATAATATAGTTGTAATAGGCTTTACCTTTTTGTTTGGGGCTTAAGTTTAGGGTTTACTTCTTGGGGTCTTAGGTGGTTTTGGGTGTGGGAGCCCTGAGCCCCAACCCTAACCTTCTAATTGCATACCCTGCTCTCAAACAAAAACACTTGCGATTGTCAGCCACGTAGGTGCGCACAGCAAGTCTGCAGCAGAATAGGTAAGTGGGTCGTCTAATTTGGGTAACGAAAACAGGGCTGGTTCGTGGGCTCAATAGGCATGCGCATTGACCTTCAGAACGGCAGGAGATGATGTGTTTTGGAGTTTAGGTTTAGGGGAGTTGTTTGGCGGATGAATGAAGTGAGAAGCCACAACCAATACTGGGACGAAGTGGTCTTTGCATGCACGATCGGGACATGCTCCCACGAACTCAATTTCGGTAGAATCTGAACCTGTTTGCTTTCGTAGGCAGATCCAGTTCCATTTTCGGTTCTCACCTGATATCTGCAGCGACTCGGAACAGGATAAGTAGGTAAGGTTACACGATGCTACACGCAAGAGATACAACAACTCCGTTTCTTTATCGCCTTAAGCCAAGGTACCTGCTAGCCGACTGAACAGCACATCATGGTTCTTCAAGCACTCCCGAGACATAAACTCGCCAAACCCTGGATTTTTGAACTTGCTCCGAAAATTCACTACACACCTCTCATAAAGAAAACACACACACACACAAAAACAAACACCCACAATTCCTGAACCTTGAACCCTGAACCTCCAAACCCTTCCTAACCCCTAAGCCCATAAGCCCTCAACCCCTTGATCTTGAACCGTAAACCCTAAACCCCCTAAACCCTAAACCCTAAACTCCTAAACCCTTCAACCCCGAGACCCCCCAAACCCCGAAACCAGAAACCCCTAAACCCCGGACCTTAAACCCTTAAACCCTAAACCCTTAAACCCTAAACCCTAACGCGGGATTCAAATCCCAAAACCCCTCAACCCTGGAGCCTTAAACCCACAAGCCCTGAAACTTAAAACCCTGCAAGCTGGTAAGGCCGTCAGGGATCGAAAAAGCCTGCACCCTCCAAAAGGGGCGGGTTTAGGGTTTAGGGCGTTTAGGGTTTAGGGCGTTTAGGGCGTTTAGGGTTTAGGGTTGAGGGCGTTTAGGGCGTTTAGGGGGTTTAGGGTTTAGGGTAACGGCGGGTTTAGGGTTGAGGGTGGTTCCTTAAGTTAGCCCACAGCGGCCCGACCCTAAACTCCTGCAAAGGGTTTACGGCTTCGTTTCGGAACCCTGAACACTCACGCCTCAGCCCTATAGACCCTTCACCCTAAGACCCGTAACCCCACCCATAGGCCGCATGTTTAGAATCCGATAAGGTGATCCCAAATAGGAACTACTTAGGGGCCTATAGGTAAACCCTAAACCCCATTTAGCAGATCAGCTGCAGGCCTTGAATTTCGCGTCTGTGGCGTCGCTGAGGTGATTTGCGGCACGTTCGATCTGCGAGGCTTTGGGTGCCCTAAGTTAGGGCGTAGGGTGAAAACTCTAAACCTCAAACCCCTAATGTAGGAACCTGATTCAGAAACCCTGGCCCCTATAACCCCCATAAAATTGGGTTCCTATTATAAAGAGCCCGAACACAGGCCCAGGGTTTCTTAATCAGGTTCCCACATTAAACCCTTAAACCCTGGACCCCGAACCGTAAAAGACACAATCTGAGGCTTTGGGGCCCTAAGTTGGGTGTAGGGTGAAAACCGTAAACCCCAAACCCTTAAACCCTTGAACCCTGGACTCCGAACCGTAAACACAGAACCCCAAACATCCCCCAAACCCTATAAAAAGGCACGCAGGGCTCCGATCTTCGACCGTGGGGCCGTAAGGTTGGGAACAGCAAACATTTGTTCCTAGGCCGAGCTCGAACTCTAAACCTCAAGCCCCTAAACCCCAAACCCTAAACCCCAAGCCCTAAACCCTAGACGCCTGGAAGGATCGAAAGGAAATATACATAAAATAAGCCCTCAAGAAGGGTATCCATGCACGGACTGGGTTGAGATTTTTGTACCTGTGGGAAAAGTTCCAGCCTGGAGAGATTGAACTTGTTTCAGACAGGTCCCACTCTACCTCACACTTCGCTCTGAGTGTGGGTGGATCATGGGATAGGAGGCAGGAGACTTTAGGTAGATTCGGCGCGTAGGATTTAAGGTCTAAGGTGTGGTCTGTTGAAGGCAAAAGCAGCATTGCCGCAAACGAGTCAGGAATGAACCCTCCCTTTGCCTGCCTAGAAAAGGCTTCAGAAGGTGGTGTGCGAGAAACGCGTGCCCGAGACTCTTAGCCTCATGGAACATGTTCACAGAGTCGGCAAATGTCGATGAGCCGCTGCGCACCCTAAACCTAAACCCTAAACCCTAAACCCCTACAAACCGCACAAATGCATGAACACGTAACACGTGAAGAGCTGCAGCGCTGCAATGCTGGCCCCAGGCGCCATGTTAACGTTGAAACTCGCATGTCAAGCAAGGCAACGAGCTCCTGTTGATGATATAAATCCAGCATTGCTTTAAGGACCCTAAACTATGGGAATTATGGTATATTCCTTAGTCTGGGTACCTTAAGGACCCTAAACTATGGGAATTATGGTATATGTTCCTTATTATGGGTAATTATGCAGGATTTATATCATCAGCCGTTCTGATGTTGTGGCAACCGTCGTGGTCAAGCCCTCTGCAATGGACCTCCGTTTCAACTTCCATGCCATCCCTGGCGCCAGCAAACCATGGCCCCACTTCCCTGACGATACTTGAAAAATGCTCCTGGCTTTAGTGGTTTTGGGGTTTTAGGGATTTAGGGGTTAGGTTTCAGGGGGTCGGGGATTTAGAGGTTTAGGCTTCAGGGGTTTAGGGGTTTAGGCTTTAGGGGTCTAGGGGTTTAGGCTTTAGGGGTTTAGGGTTTAGGGGTCTAGGGGTGTAGGGTCTAACCAGGAGCATACCCGTAGCCGTCAGGCCCTGAGCAAGGGCCTATCAGATGCAGGGTTATTCCCTAAACTCGGAAATAACAGCGGGGGTCCTTCATGTGCGAAGTAGATTCTCTCAGAGGATGCCTAGCCACCAAATCATCCCGCGCTGTCAATGATCCGGTGTGTCCAACCAGGGGGTATGTGCCTCACTGACAATGGAGCGCAGCGCATCCATCCTCATGGAACAGCATGGATTTTGCGTACAAGGAATCACGGGTTCACAAAGAGGCCAATACCAGCTGATTAATATAAGTAAGCAGGACGACCAAAATCAAGAGAAGAGAAGCCTTTAATTACGGTTTAAGGTGCACTCCGTGACCAAGGGGAGGGGAGGTAGTTTGGCACGGTTAGGAGTTTTCCCGGGCGATTCGGCGTCTCAAACCTTGTAATTAAATACAAAACGTTTGGTTTCGCCGCTCATACCATGAACAGCTCAAACCTAGCCTTCTGCTGTCGAGAAGTGTCTCCTAACTGAGTCTGAGCTACCAAAACACAATTTGGGGGTTTGGAGTCTACGGTTTCCGTTCAATCGCAGACCAGAGGGTTTGCAAGTCCCTGACCCCGGAAAAAAAAACGAACTCTAAAACCCTAAACCCTAAAACCCCTCAACAAGAGCCCGCAACGCCAACCCCTAAAACCCCCAAAAACCCTGAAAAAGAGCCCTTAGGACCCCTAAAGCCTGAGCCTTCAAAGGATTCTTACCCATGGAGACTCCGAAACCCCTTCAAACCAGGACTTAGGGTTGAGGGTTTATAGGGTTT